AGATCCATCTGGATAATTATGGCCATTTCAAAAATTACAATTCACCTCCTAAGAATCAGGTTTTTAGAAACGACACACTCTTTTGCACTTGTGCTCTTGTTCGTGAAGATGAGACGCTCAGATCTTCATGTCGCTCAGCACTGTATGATCGTGGGATTGCAGCAGTCTATTAAAATCACTCGCAGTCTAAAATGCTCTAATGCTCATTCAATTAAAGCATTGTAATTATACGTCCAGATGCCTGATGGGAGGTTACGCTGGGGCTCTGTAGCATCAGACACGTGTCTTCCTCCAGCGCTGAACCAATGCACTCGCAAAACTGCATTTCTCTCAAGCTTGTTTCCTAATCTAGCTGTCTGATAAACGTGGCACTGTGGATAATTGCTTCTGTTCCTCTGATGCATAAAACGAACTGATCCGTTGCTCTGGATCGTGTGTCAGTTGGTCAGAACATGTTGTTTCTACACAAGCTTAGCTCCAGTGGTCACTCTTCTGTGGAAGACCGTCTCTGCCACCGGATAAAAAAGATGATTGTGAGCTTTGCGGGCTTTGTTTGAGTTCATCTTGCATCTTGCATATCTTTCAATTTTGAGTTTTTTCTCAGAATCCTGAGTTGATATCTCACAATTGATTTCCCCCCATCATAGATTAAAAATGGTAGCTGTGACTTTTTATCTCACATTTTTGACTTTGTTTATATCTTGCAGCTGTGACTTTTATTGTCTGAATTATGAGAAAAACTAATGCTTAACTAAACGGGCTTCAGTAGTTAACTCTATTTCAGCTTAAATGGATCATTCACCCAAAAATGAAAATTCACTGACTTCCACCGCATGGAAAAAAAGTGTTATGGAAGTCAGTGTGTGTCTGAGAGAGCTGAACTGGAGGATGACGTCACTGAATCATCAATGAACGGACTTTAGCTGGAAAAACGACTCTGTTGTTGTCTTCTTGCATTATTGACAAACTATTTTCCTGTTTAACATTCTAAAGCTGCTTTGACACAACCAGTATTGTATAAAGCGCTATACAAATAAAGGTGACTTGACTTGAGCGTCTCCGGTGAGCGTGTTGGAGTTACTGATGGTGTTTGTGTTTCTGGTCTCAGGTTGAGAAGAACGAAGAGGCTGATCAGGAGATCAAGCAGGATGGACCCAAACCGGAGGAAAACGGCCACAAGGCCGCCACCAAGATCCAGGCCAGCTTCCGTGGACACATCACCCGGAAAAAGATGAAGGACGAGGAGAACGACGCCGCTCCGGACGAGTCCGCAGAGGAGAAGGAGGAGCGAGTCTCTCCATCGGAGGAGAAACCTGCCGAGGTTTCCATGGAAACAGCAGAGGAGAGCAAACCGGCCGAGCAGCCCAACTCACCTGCCGCAGAAGCCCCGCCCACCACTGCCACTGACTCCGCCCCCTCAGACACGCCCACTAAAGAGGAGGCGCAGGAGCAGCTGCAGGAGGCGGAGAATCCAAAAGAGGTGGAGAACACGGCAGCCGAGAACCCCGCCCACGATGTAAACGCACAGGAGGAGGAGAAGAAAGAGGAGGAGAAGAAGGAGGAAGCCAAACAAGCCGATGAGCCTGAC